GTTTGAGTATCAGTAGTAGAGTAAAAGTACTGGAGTACAGTAGTAGAGTAAAAGTACTGGAGTACAGTAGTAGAGTAAAAGTACTGGAGTACAGTAGTAGAGTAAAAGTACTGGAGTATCAGTAGTAGAGTAAAAGTACTGGAGTATCAGTAGTAGAGTAAAAGTACTGGAGTACAGTAGTAGAGTAAAAGTACTGGAGTACAGTAGTAGAGTAAAAGTACTGGAGTACAGTAGTAGAGTAAAAGTACTGGAGTACAGTAGTAGAGTAAAAGTATTCGAGTATCAGTAGTAGAGTAAAAGTACTGGAGTATAAAAGTACTGAAGTATCAGTAGTAGAGTAAAAGTACTGGAGTATAAGTACTGGAGTATCAGTAGTAGAGTAAAAGTACTGGAGTATCAGTAGTAGAGTAAAAGTATTCGAGTATCAGTAGTAGAGTAAAAGTACTGGAGTATCAGTAGTAGAGTAAAAGGACTGGAGTATCAGTAGTAGAGTAAAAGGACTGGAGTATCAGTAGTAAGAGTAAAAGGATGGAGTATCAGTAGTAGAGTAAAAGGACTGGAGTATCAGTAGTAGAGTAAAAAGTACTGGAGTACAGTAGTAGTAAAGTACTGGAGTACAAAGTAGTATTCGAGTATCAGTAGTAGAGTAAAAGTACTGGAGTATCAGTAGTAGAGTAAAAGTACTAGAGTCAGTAGTAGAGTAAAAGTACTGGAGTACAGTAGTAGAGTAAAAGTACTGGAGTATCAGTTAGAGTAAAAGTACTGGAGTATCAGTAGTAGAGTAAAAGTACTGGAGTATCAGTAGTAGAGTAAAGTACTGGAGTATCAGTAGTAGAGTAAAAGTACTGGAGTACAGTAGTAGTAGAGTAAAAGTACTGGAGTACAGTAAGTAAAAGAGTACAGTAGTTAGAGTAAAAGTACTGGAGTACAGTAGTAGAGTAAAAGTATTCGAGTATCAGTAGTAGAGTAAAAGTACTGGAGTATAAAAGTACTGAAGTATCAGTAGTAGAGTAAAAGTACTGGAGTATAAGTACTGGAGTATCAGTAGTAGAGTAAAAGTACTGGAGTATCAGTAGTAGAGTAAAAGGACTGGAGTATCAGTAGTAGAGTAAAAGTACTGGAGTACAGTAGTAGAGTAAAAGTATTCGAGTATCAGTAGTAGAGTAAAAGTACTGGAGTATCAGTAGTAGAGTAAAAGGACTGGAGTATCAGTAGTAGAGTAAAAGTACTGGAGTATCAGTAGTAGAGTAAAAGTACTGGAGTATCAGTAGTAGAGTAAAAGTACTGGAGTATCAGTAGTAGAGTAAAAGGACTGGAGTATCAGTAGTAGAGTAAAAGTACTGGAGTACAGTAGTAGAGTAGTAAAAGTATCGAGTATCAGTAGTTAGAGTAAAGTACTGGAGTATCAGTAGTAGAGTAAAAGTACTGGAGTACAGTAGTAGAGTAAAAGTACTGGAGTACAGTAGTAGAGTAAAAGTACTGGAGTACAGTAGTAGAGTAAAAGTACTGGAGTATCAGTAGTAGAGTAAAAGTACTGGAGTATCAGTAGTAGAGTAAAAGTACTGGAGTATCAGTAGTAGAGTAAAAGTACTGGAGTACAGTAGTAGAGTAAAAGTACTGGAGTATCAGTAGTAGAGTAAAAGTACTGGAGTACAGTAGTAGAGTAAAAGTACTGGAGTATCAGTAGTAGAGTAAAAGTACTGGAGTACAGTAGTAGAGTAAAAGTACTGGAGTACAGTAGTAGAGTAAAAGTACTGGAGTACAGTAGTCCTGCAGACCTGTACATGACGATGTGCTGCTTCATCTGGTCGTAGAACGTGAGCTCTGGTTCTCTGAGGAACAAACAGAACATTTACAACAAACAAGAAGAAGAAGAAGAAGAAGAAGAAGAAGAAGAAGAAGAAGAAGAAGAAGAGAAGAAGAAGAAGAAGAAGTTCCACCAAAAGACAAAAAACAGAGACACAAGAACGAGTGAAAACTACAACTCCTCCTCTTCCTCTCCTCCTCTTCCTCTCCTCCTCTCCTCTCCTCTCTCCTCTCCTCCTCTCCTCTCTTCCTCTCCTCCTCTTCCTCTCCTCCTCTTCCTCTTCCTCTCCTCCTCCTCCTCCTCCTCTTCCTCTCCTCCTCTTCCTCTCCTCCTCTTCCTCCTCCTCCTCCTCTCCTCCTCTTCCTCCTCTCTCTCTCTCCTCTCCTCCTCCTCCTTCCTCTCCTCCTCCTCTCCTCTCTCTTCTTCCTCTCCTCCTCTCTCCTCTCCTCCTCCTCCTCCTCCTCCTCCTCCTCCTCCTCTCCTCCTCCTCTCCTCTCCTCCTCTTCCTCTCCTCTCCTCCTCTTCCTCTCCTCCTCTTCTCTCCTCTTCTTCTTCCTCTCCTCTCCTCCTCTTCCTCTCCTCTCCTCCTCCTCGTCTTCCTCTCCTCTTCCTCTGGTCTGGTCCTCACCTCTTGTCCGTTTTAAAGCTGTACCGCGTCACTTTTCTCAGATATTGTCTGAAGTCCAGTTCCAGTGAGTCCAGGAGCAGGACCTGGTCTGGGTCCTGGTCCCAGAACTGAGCGGCTCTGGAGACCGAGGACACGGCGTCCAGCAGAGAGGACAGACGAGAGTCCGACAGCGCCTGAGGACAGACCGGGACAGACCGGGACAGACCGGGACAGACCGGGGACAGACCGGGACAGACCGGGACAGACCGGGACAGACCGACAGAGGACAGACCGGGACAGACGGACGGGACAGACCGGGACAGACGGGACAGACCAGGACAGACCGACCGGAAGGACGAGACAGACCGGGACAGACCGAGGAAAGACCGAGACAGACCGGGACAGACCGGGACAGACCGACCGGACAGACCCAGGGACAGACCGGGACAGACCGGGACAGACCGAGACAGACCGGACGAGGGACAGGACGACCGGGACAGACAAGACCGGACAGACCGGGACAGACCGGGACAGACCGAGGACAGACCAGACAGGGACAGACCGGGACAGACCGGGACAGACGAGGACAGACCGGGGACAGACCAGGGACAGACCGGACAGGGGACCGACCGGGACAGACCGGGACAGACCGAGGACAGACCGGGACGACCGGGACAGACAGACGGGACAGACCGGGACAGACCGGGACAGACCGGGACAGACCGGGACAGACGGACAGAGGGACAGACGAGACAGACGGGACAGACCGGGACAGACCGGGACAGAGACAGACAGACCGGGACAGACCGGGACAGACCGGGACAGACCAGAGGGACAGACCGGGACAGACCGGGGACAGGACCGGGACAGACCAGGGACAGACCGGGACAGACCGGGACAGACCGGAGGACAGACCGGGACAGACCGAGGACAGACCGGGACAGACCGGGACAGACCGGGACAGACCGGGACAGACCGGGAGGACAGACAGACCGAGGACAGACCGAGGACAGACGGGACAGACCGGGGACAGACGAGACAGACCGAGGACAGACCGAGAAAGGACCAGGGACAGACCGAGGACAGACCGGGGACAGACCGAGGACAGACCGAGGACAGACCGGGGACAGACCGGGGACAGACCGGGACAGACCGAGGACAGACCGAGGACAGACCGAGGACAGACCGGGACAGACCGAGGACAGACCGAGGACAGACCGGGACAGACCGAGGACAGACCGGGGACAGACCGAGGACAGACCGGGGACAGACCAGGAGGACCAGACCGAGGACAGACCGAGGAAGACCGAGGAAAGACCGAGGACAGACCGGACAGACCGGGACAGACCCAGACGGGACAGACCGGGACAGACCGAGGACAGACAGAGGACAGACCGGGGACAGACCGGGACAGACCGGGGGACAGACCGGGGACAGACCGAGGGGGACAGACCGGGACAGACCGGGACAGACCGGGGACAGACCGGACAGACCGGACAGACCGGGACAGACCGGGACAGACCAGACCGAGGACAGACCGGGACAGACGGGGAGACCGAGGAGGACCGAGGAAAGACCGGGACAGACCGAGGAAAGACCAGACCAGACCGGGACAGACCGAGGACAGACCGAGGAAAGACCGAGGAAAGACCGAGGAAAGACCGGGGACAGACCGAGGACAGACCGAGGAAAGACCGGGACAGACCGGGGACAGACAGACCGAGGAACAACCGGGGACAGACGAGACCGGACAGACCGGGACAGACCGGGACAGACCGGGGTTAGTTCTGGTTTAGTTCTGGTTTACTCCTGGTTCAGTCCTGGTTTAGTCCTGGTTTAGTCTTGTTTAGTGGTTAGTTCTGGTTCTGTTTATCTGGTTTAGTCCTGGTTTAGTCCTGGTTTAGTCCTGGTTTAGTCCTGGTTTAGTCCTGGTTTAGTTCTGGTTTAGTCCTGGTTTAGTTCTGGTTTAGTCCTGGTTGTTCTGTTCAGTCCTGGTTAGTCCTGGTTTAGTTCTAGTTTAGTCCAGGTTTAGTCCTGGTTTAGTCCTGGTTTAGTCCTGGTTAGTTCGGACTGGTTTAGTTCTGGTTTAGTTCCTGGTTTAGTCTGTTTATTAGCTGGTTTAGAGCTGGTTTAGTTCTGGTTTAGTTCTGGTTTAGTCCTGGTTTAGTTCTGGTTTAGTCCTGGTTTAGTTCTGGTTTACTCCTGGTTTAGTCCTGGTTTAGTTCTGGTTTAGTTCTGATTTACTCCTGGTTCAGTCCTGGTTTAGTCCTGGTTTAGTCCTGGTTTAGTCTTGGTTTAGTTCTGGTTCAGTTCTGGTTCAGTCCTGGTTTAGTCCTGGTTTAGTTCTGGTTTAGTTCTGGTTTAGTTCTGTTTAGTCTGGTTAGTTCTGGTTTAGTTCTGGTTTAGTTCTGGTTTAGGTTTTCTGGTTTAGTCTGGTTTAGTCCTGGTTTAGTTCTGGTTTAGTCTGGTTTAGTTCTGGTTTAGTTAGTTCTGGTTCTGGTTTAGTCTGGTTAGTTGGTTTAGTTCTGGTTTCAGTTCTGGTTAGTCCTGGTTAGTTCTGGTTTAGTTTCTGGTTAGTCCTGGTTTAGTTCTGGTTTAGTTCTGGTTTAGTCCTGGTTTAGTTCTGGTTTAGTTCTGGTTTAGACCTGGTTTAGTCCTGGTTTAGTCTGGTTGTCATGTTGTGTTTCCTCCAGTAGAGGGAGATGTTCTCACCAGTTTTCCTGTGAACAGCTGCAGGTCGGAGGCAGAGCCCTAAAACACACACAACAACAACACAACATTTACACACAACAACAACACAACATTTACACACAACAACAACACAACATTTACACACAACAACAACACAACATTTACACACAACAACAACACAACATTTACACACAACAACATCAACACAACATTTACACACAACAACAACACAACATTTACACACAACAACAACAACATTTACACACAACAACAACATTTAACACAGGTGTGACAGGCGTGACAGGTGTGACAGGTGTGTCAGGTGTGACAGGTGTGTCAGGTGTGACAGGGTGGGTGTGACAGGTGTGACAGGTGTGACAGGTGTTGACAGGTGTGACAGGTGTGACAGGTGTAACATTGTTTTTGACAGTGTGACAGGTGTTGACAGGTGTGACAGGTGTGACAGGTGTGACAGGTGTGACAGGTGTGACAGGTGTGACAGGTGTGACAGGTGTGACAGGTGTGACAGGTGTGACAGTGTGACAGGTGTGACAGGTGTGTGTTCAGGTGTGTCAGGTGTGACAGGTTGACAGGTGTGTCAGGTGTGTCAGGGTGACAGGTGTGACAGGTGTAATGTTACAGGTGTGACAGGTGTGACAGGGTGTGACAGTGTTTGACAGGGTTGACAGGTGTGACAGGTGTGACAGGTGTGACAGGTGTGACAGTGTGTTGGACAGGTGTGAGGTGTGACAGGTGTGACAGGTGTGACAGGTGTGACAGGTGTGATGGACAGGTGTGACAGGTGTGATAGGTGTGACAGGTGTGACAGGTGTGACAGGTGTGACAGGTGTGACAGGTGTGACAGGTGTGACAGGGGTGTGACAGGTGTGACAGGTGTTGTGACAGTGACAGGTGTGACAGGTGTGACAGGTGTAATGTTTTGTGACAGGTGTGACAGGTGTGACAGGTGTGACAGGTGTGACAGGTGAGTTTTCTGACCATGTGACTCAGGTTGAACATGAATCGTCCCAGAGTTTCAGCCAAAATCTCCCCGTTTCTCCTGAGCCTCTGCAGGTCCACGACACACCTGCACCCAACACACGTCCCACAATGTGTGAAACGTCCCACAATGTGTGAAACGTCCCACAGTGAAGCTTTAACTGTTCTAATGTGTGAAACGTCCCACAGTGAAGCTTTAACTGTTCTAATGTGTGAAACGTCCCACAGTGAAGCTTTAACTGTTCTAATGTGTGAAATGTCCCACAGTGAAGCTTTAACTGTTCTAATGTGTGAAACGTCCCTGTGCTGTCAGGCACTTGGAACACTTCAAGCAAACTCTACTCCCTGACCCGGTGTCCCTCTGTCTCTGACCCGCTGTCCCTCTGTCTCTGACCTGGTGTCCCTCTGGTCTCTGACTTGGTGTCCCTCGGGTCACTGACCCGGTGTCCCTCTGTCCCTGACCCGGTGTCCCTCGGGTCACCGACCCGGTGTGCCTCGGGTCACCGACCCGGTGTCCCTCTAGTCTCTGACTTGGTGTCCCTCGGGTCACTGGCCCGGTGTGCCTCGGGTCACCGACCCGGTGTCCCTCTGTCCCTGACCCGGTGTCCCTCGGGTCACTGACCCGGTGTGCCTCGGGTTCCCGACCCGGTGTGCCTCGGGTCACCGACCTGGTGTCGAGCAGAGAGCGGCGGCTCGGGTCGCTGGGCTCCTCCAGGCGGCTCAGCGTGAGGCCGGGGATCCTCCTCAGGCTGAAACGCTCGTGCTCCCACAGAACCACAGACTCCCCCAAGTTTATCTTCTTATGAACCAGAACCGACGACACCGAGGAGAACCTGGACTGGAGAACCTGCAAGAACACAGAGGAGAAC